TTTGCAACTTTAGGGATCTTATCTATGCATAAACAGCTTGTAACAATACAAAGGAGTCACTGTATCCCAAAAATGACTCTACTATGATTGTTAGTATACAAATAAAAGAAATTAAGAATGTTTCAAAGTGTGTTATAAGGTAGTTAATTTTCTAAAAATGCACAAAGCTGAAGAAACACCCAATTATTATTTACATATGTAAACGCACCTCTCCCAGGTGAGAGTCCCCTAGCGGTCCTCTAGTTTCTGGATTGACTATGATCACCCTCACACCAGGAAGAATCTAAATGAGGGAGAAAGAACACTAACAATATTTTCTATTTCTTTTATGCTTGATCCATCAGTGGAAATGTGCTTACTGTTCCAGACTCCATGAGAGGAAGAGACTGAGGTGCTCCTCGCTCTACTAACCTCACCCTACAACACAGACACACCATCATCAGTGTTGTACAAAGAGAAAGAGTGTTTATGACATGATATAATCACTTAGGGCCCGGAGGTCTAAAGCTTTTTTCATATTTGACAAAACCCAGTCTCATAATGGATAGAATTCTATTTAAAAATTATTAATCTATTTAAAAAACTATTTAAAACGGCACCAAAAGCAATTCCAATTGGCCAAAAAGTGAAATTTCACACATTTAAACACAAAACACACCTTTTAATATTTAAACACTGTATGTTTTGTGTGTGTGTTTATCTATGTTTGTCTTTATCTTACCGGTCATGTCGGAGGGACTTCATGTCCACATACACAGTTGAGGGGTCTGGTCCAGTGGTACCCTGTGAAAAACACAGAGATCAGCTGCACATCAAATAGCCAACATCGCATATCTAAAACCTCCCAACAATGCATTTATTTGTAACATAGAGATGATAGATCAGTGAGAAGAATATATATTGTTGCCTACAGTAGGTGTAAAGGAAAATCAATTTGCAGAGTTTGAACTTCAGATAATTTACCTGAAGGCAGATGGCCAGGTTTACTCTCGACCCAAAAGCGGTGCTGACAGCCCGCATGGAGAGTCCAATGTCTTTGAACAGTTTGGAGAAGGAGTGTGTAAGAGCCAAGCGTGGACGCTCCTCAGCAACCACCACACAGCTCCTCACACATGACAGGTTCACACCACGTGCCTGAAGTCAGATGGACACAAAGAACATTAGAAGAACATGTGAAGATCAAAAAAAGATTGTATGGACAAAAACAATTCTCCAAAGTATCTTTTGTGTTTTGCAGTAAAAAGAAAGTCATATAGGTTTGGAATGACATGAGGGTGAGAATGATGATGGCAGAAGTGTCATTTTTGGGTGAACTATGCCTTTAATGGTGGGTAAATATGCATGTGAGCATACCTTCAGTATGTCTGTCTGTCCGCCTAGGCCCTTGGTGCAGAGCTCCATGACAGAATAGGAGCAGAAGGTGTCTCTGATGCGGTACTGACTGAGCGTGCCCAGCCACAGGGTCAGTGAGATCTCCAGCTCCATAGGAGGGATCAAGATGGACTGATGACCTGAGTATACACTGTAAAACACAGGCACATTTCAGGTTTATAATACCTTCAAAATACATTAATTTTATGTTAGTATGAGTCATTTGTATGTGACTGTTTGTGTGTATCCATCTGTTACCTCGCAAGGCACCAGAGCACAAAACCAAGTCCACAGTAGGGGTCGAGGCAGATGGCGATCTGGCGAGAGGAGTACAGCTCACACTGTAGCTTTATAGAGCGACAGAGAACGCTCACCGCCGCATGAGAGACCTGATAGGAAGCCAGTCAGAGAGGGGTGTCTCAAATGTACTGTACCACTAAGATTTATTTTAAGGCAGAGGGAGATATTTGCTACAGTAGGGTCCAAAATGTCTAAGACAACATTGAAAATCAGGAAATCTAATTTAAATGAAAATGTTTTGCGATTTTAAATGAGAAAAGCTTTTTCACCAGTGGTCTCAGATTTTTGGACACCACTGTGTATTAACAAATTCCCATCCAGGTAAAACATCTCTGATTGGTCAGTTATTCAATGACCCTGGTGTTAAAGGTTCACCAAAACTGCCTAAGATAACTAAGAAAAATCTATTGAGATGATGTGAAAAATCTCTCACCTTCACTCCTGTCAGCATGCCTGTGGTTGAGACACTGAAGTCCATATAGGCAATCATCTCAGCATTGGGCGGTTTGTAGATTGTGGGTGGTCGTTTGCGAGGCAAGTCATCTGGGGAAAACCATGGATATGTTACTTATGGATATATTTCTAAGCTTGCCACCTAAGTAAAGTCTGAAGAATTAAAA